CTCTGCATTTTTTTCCGCAGAAGGGGGGGGGCAACTATATCCTGGAAAATTATGGTGCAAGTATAACGTGGAGATAAATGAACAAGACTTACTGAAGATTTTTGCACTGCTCAAAATCAATATTTACCGAGTCAAACAATAATCTTGAATTAAAATAATGTAAATGGTAAATAAAATCCTATTTTGTGTATGTTTCAGGTCTTTGCCAAGCATTTCCAAATGGGTGTCATCCAACTATATGAATTAGTCCTCGCATTTGTTATTAATTAAAAATGAGATACTGAGAAATCTTACCAAAAATTAAAAGATTATGAGTAATGTACTTATACGACAATGCAATTCACGAAGATGTTATTCTTCATATTGATAAAGAAAACTAATAAATGTTGTATTAAAGATTGTTGTTGTAATTTGATAATTTTTAAAATGCTTTTGTAAATTTGTGTATTTTGTATGAGCTTGTAAGAACAACGTCCAATAGAAGAGAATATCAAAAATAAATTGGAAGTCCGGCCGCCTTCGGGAGTCTTCGCTCCCCCTCGGGGATGAGCCCCCTTGCCTGGCAGCTTGGTAAAGCCCTAGGGGCCAAGGTACTCGCTCCAGGCAAGGCAAACCTCCCTGCCTTCGCGCAGATCTCAGAAACTCGCACTTCTCACAAATAAATTCTATAAATACATTACTGGTATTAAATTATGTCTGTCATCCCATAATTTTAACAAGCTACAACAGTACTTATTTTCTCGCATTATTTGTAACAGCTACGCAATATTATATCTCTATATGAGCCTACAGAAGTGTTTTCAACCAGGAAACGTTTTTTTCGCGCCCATACTCGAACTTAGGTCAACATGTTAGTTTACAAGTAATTGCCAAAAGTCATTATACAATGAAAATGGATACAAACGTTTAAATGCCAAGTTCGCTATTTTCTGTTCCAAAACTATATCTATGCAATTGGAAATTATATTGAAAATGAAAAAGGGAAATATTAATATAATCAGTAATATTAATTCATTAGCACTAGCACTGTACAATTGTTAAAGACTAAATATGACTGTAACAAGTAGGATCCATTCGGATGGCCCCTTCGATACTTTCACGTGCTTATTGATAGTGGATAGGAGAACACGTTGTGCTACAGAATGCCCTATTTCCTTTGGTCTCGGCTAGCTATACGAACTCGGTTCATATTCATGCTAACTACCATTTATAGCCTTCCAAAGTCCTTTTTTTGATCTTTTATAAATTTTCATTGTTTTTTAGTAGGACGGATGTATTATTTTAAAAATATTAAATAACAGTAAAATTTCGTCCTAATTGGCAATTTCCTTTCACAAATTTGCAGCCGTTTTTAAGAAAATGAAGGTTCAGTGCTACTGTAAACTCGAAATTTGAAGCTCTTTCGCACAGAAAATTTTTCGAAAAACTTCATTTCAAGACAGTTTAAGTACTTAAACTCACAAATACAATAGTGTTTACAAATTTATTGAAATGTGCAAGGCAATGTTCTTTGCCACTTTTATAAGTGTATGTTACTCTTATTTAAAGCTTAAAAAATTTAAAGCAAAAAGTTGAGCAGTTTTTGAGAAAATTTTTTGAAAGTGTACGTAGGGATTCATATAAAGTACCCTCAAATTGTGAAGAATGTTTTTCAAAATCTCAAAGATTTGACATGAACCAGATGGACAGGGGTGTCTTCAATTTGGAAAAACGTCTACGCATGGTTTAGGTGCTAGTAGTGTTTACAGACACCAGACGGACGTTATGAAAAAACACTATTGCGGTATCAAGGACCCCAAAATGTGTATTTCCGTCGAAATCTCGGAATCGATTTTCCGCAGCATGACATAACATTCCCTACCCTACGAATATTACTCCATACATACACTCACGATATCGTCTTTGTGAAGGGTGTTGAATGTGCCAATTCAAAGAGCTTGCCGAAACGTTTTTGACATTTGGTCACTTGCAAACTATTTGCTTATAATGTTTCCTGTAAAGTATACGGGAAAGTAGAAATCATATTTCGTCGACACCACTGTAAACATTCAGGTTTTCGTTATTCTGGATAGACAATATTTTGAAAATATATTTTACTTGGTATAAGCAGCATAATATATTTATTATGCCGCTTACAAGAACCCGAAATCTTAATCCGGACGTTGAACCACATCAGGTATGAGAGCTGGCCAGAGAAAATATTATAGTGAGCGAAAAATTCGTTTGCTCCCGGCAAACCATTCCGATCGGAGTTCCATTTTCTTCCCACTAAGAGAACAAGGACGTATTCGTTCTAACGGTTAGTAGCCTCGATAACTTACGCTGAAATATTAATCAAAACTGAATTATGTTTTGAGAAGTATTTCAGGAAGCTTCTCTCGATATCGTCTTTGTGAAGGGTGTTGAATGTGCCAATTCAAAGAGCTTGCCGAAACGTTTTTGACATTTGGTCACTTGCAAACTCTTTGCTTATAATGTTTCCTGTAAAGTATTTGGCTAAATGGCGGCGAAAAGGTACCTATTCTTTGAACAAGTTGTTGGAAGTTACTCAGAAGCTGTAAGACCTTACCAAGAGGTGCAGCGTGTAATAAATGTCAAATATTATGAAGTTACTAGTTTCAATGTCATTAGATGTTGATATTTATTTAGTCAATCTTAATAATAAATCTGTGGAAAAAGTCGGTAAAGTTAATAGTTTTCCGCCTCCAGTGTCGCCTGTGATATGCAAGCTCTCGCAAAAGGGGGGCAAACGACGTATTTTCGCTGCCGTGAGGAACGCCTGCACGACCTTCAAGCCACGTTGGAAGTAAGTGAAACAACTGCACAGCATCTCGTCTTCATCCATAAGTGATTTATGACATAAACATGTAGTCACTAGAATGTCATTTATTTATTTAAATCATTATTCTAGATTAATTTCCGATTAAACTCGTGCCTATATCGTTCATGATGCCTGTGTATAATTATGTGTAGATATATTCATGTTACAAAGTTGTATTTCTGATAATTGATGTTCAAAGTTCATAATAAAAATAAATATTAAACATACTACAGTTGCGTAACTTGCCAATTTTGGGGCGGAGTTCGTTGCATAAAAAAACAAATTAATATTCTGATAAGAATATGCTTCCTGAAGTATTGTGCCAATTTATTTGTCTAGTTAAGAGTACTATAATGAGCAACTAATTATCTACGTAGGTACTTTAACTTCCCCCAACACTCATTTTATTTTCTTAAAAGCACACAAAAAATTCGCCTTTTCGACAAATCATTAAATCTTCAGTTTGGAAACGCAACAAAACAGATTAGTTCCCCACCAGAAAGCCGAAACGCGTAGAATTACGCCTCCTGATTGGTGGACCGGAAGGGGTCCACCAGGGACGAGCAGGCGGTCGGAGGGAGGTTAGTCGATTGCTACGAATGGACATATAGGAATTGATTTTGAATGTTTATAGAAAGTAATTGCACGTTTTAGACGTTTAGGTCAATGTCACACGAGCGTTACTATGACGTGCGTATTCTCGTAAGTAACGCACGTTGTCGATTAACACTGTGTTTTTAATGCGGAACACCCAAAGCGTTCGTGTGCCCGTTTCGCATAAGATAGTGTTATTCTACGACGTGCGTTACTTAAGCGTATCGCGCGTCAACGCTACGCTCGTGTTCAGGGACCCTCAATATACTTTTGTTATTATGCTTTGTTATTGTTGCGTTGACGTTGTTTGAATGTTTTTACTGAATATCTAAAATCTTGTAATTCCTAGTGCAGGCATTGACGAATGCAAAGTAAATTTGATTGGTAATTTTTATAAAGTGGAGGGGGGTCTCGAACGCAAACGGCGGTCAAGGACGACTATTGGTCGGCGCGTGATGCTGGCGGCGGGTGATACAGTTCGTACTAATTTCCCATATAATTAGTTGGCTCCAATAGCTAAAGCGTAGACCCCGAGAAAGCTTTCCTTATGTCTTCAAGTCTGCTACAAACATTATTTCTGTTTGGATATATTTAAGTTTGCGAACAATACGATTTTCCTCTCTTATGATAATAAAATCTAACATGCCTGATGCCCTGATAATATTTAAAAATGTTCTCTTTTTGATATGCAAGTAACAGTTCTTATTGTTCTTCTAACTCGTAATGAAAATGTCATAGCATGAAATTTCGAAATCCGAATTCTGTATCATGAATTATCTATGTTCGATTTAACAAGCGCTTATAATAACGATTTGTACATTTTCTCCTTGAATATGTTAATTCATGTCGCAAAATATGCTATCATCAATTAAATCAAATTGGAGTAAAAATGCATCTTCCGCCTCTTGTCCTTCACTTGTCGAGCTGCCAGCGAAGTTTCCGCTCTCACATTTCTTAGCTTTCCCGCCGCATGCGACTGCAGTGCCAAATGCGCCAAGGCATGTAACACTAAAAAGATACTGAAATTGCATCATCGATGTTAAACTACGGGAACAAAAGGAACTTGCAGCACTCCAAGTGGCTTGACCGTGTTAGTGGTTTGCCAATTTCCGTATCTGACCTTCACGCCAATGGGCTGAGGGCAGAATTCCACTGACGTTGCGAACAAATCCATGCTCACTCCAGTATTAAGAGAATGAATTGAGAGAATTGCAACAAGATTTTTAGTTTTACCACTTTTTTTCGGAGTTCTTTATAAATGCATTATGAAGTGATATTTTAGTAGAATGAATTCCACTATGTTATTACTGACATTAGCTGCTCATCATTAATTTTATTTCATTCAAAAAATTTACGAATAGTTGACATGCGTGGCTTTTTACTATCATTCCAACATGCACTGCACGTACGAGACTGACGGCAGCCGTTGACCCGCCCGGAGTCACTAAATCAATCAACCATCTAAATGAATCTTCTTATATCAAATTTGAGTTACTAACTCGAAATTTTTTTGGAAGATCTTTCTCAGGAGATATTTCAATTTTTGGGCACATGCGCGCTCACATGGTTGACTTGCCCTGAAACTTCAATCAGTCGCCAGCATTACAGCAGATCCTTCGCGGGTAATAACATCTGCTTCAAATGTTGCAGTGATCGCCGGGAGGATGGTGTCGCCGGAGCCCAGGAGCTTGCCCGAGAGGAGCGTGAAACGGTAGGTGATGTGGGGAAGCACTGAGCAGGGCCGTCGCCATCCCCGGGGTCTCTCGTGGCCGAAGGGCGTGCCTTTGTGGGCAGCTCGAGGTTATGCATTCCCACCCTCAAGGCTGTGCATAGGGAGCGCGTAAATATCGAGGCAGGAGCTGGTCCGAAGGTTCTACGGAAGCTACTGTACAGAACATTAGTATGTAATTTAAATCAATAGTGCTTTTCAAAATGGAAATACTATTTGCACAAATATTTCTTCACTTCGTTTTAAATGCTTTATACCTCGTATCTGTTTTACGGAAAGTAAACCTGACTTCATTAAATGTTCTTCGTAATTAGTAAGGATAACTCTGAGCTTTCAGAACGGAATAAAGCGCATCAGCTCCTCCCTTGCAGGCAACTAAGGGAGTACTTGGGTGAGGTGTACAGCCACTGCCCTGCTCAGTTAGACGCAACGGGGCCTCCTGTGTCATAATAGTTTAATTGCACTTCAACTTGCAGGTCACCACGTTAATCAGTCTTCGTTGCCTAGTTCGTAAATGCATGGCAGGCTCGTAGGTACTCGTGATTTTAGCTGAGCCTGTAGTAGGCGCGAGTATGTTGTTTAGCGATTGCTTTTCACTGGACTGTAGGGGAAATGTAGTGACTCGTGGGTAGGAATCGCCCCTACAGCCCAGTGAGCTCAGGGCTCTTCGTTGCTAATGTCGTTCGCTGTTATTGGAGACGTTCTGATATACTTTGCTCTCAAAGGTAAATCTGCGTCGCAGCTATTCAATAAGACTTGTTTGGAGCAATGACACGCCCAAGGGTCTCGTGTGACTAAAATTGAGTTTTTACTACTTTTCCATACCAAGAAAAGTCATTCAATGTCTAATTATTGAAGATGTTATAAATAACTATAAATCAACACAAAAATATATTTAAAATTCTGTAACAGTGAAAAATTGCACATAATAAAACAAAGCAGGCTACACTAGAAAAGCACTACACTAGAAGAACCCTATTGCTCCACTTGTTGGGACCAAAGTGTTTCAGAATGTCCTTCCACCAAAGAAATCTCCGGAGGCAATGACCTCGAATGGACGGAGTGATATGTTGCAGGTAAACGTGACATAGGAGGCAGGGAATGTCATAATGTGTCTTTTCATTTTCTATAGCAAATTTCTACAGCCATAAGTGCTCAAGCACAATTACGTAGAAAGAAGTATTACACAACAATTCGACATATAGTAGAATTGAAATGTGGCGATTAGTATTCACAAATTCTGATAATTCGCAGGTTTAAACGCATTGCTGCGAACATGAGGTGATTCTAGTGTCTAAGATTCTTTCGATAAAGTCAAAGGAATCTTCAATTTAAAGTGAATGAAAGGGGGAAAATATGCAATGAAGTTAGAAAGGCAGACACTCGGAACATCATCTTTAAAAATTATTGTTTAGGTGAAACTGAAGAACAAGATTTTTAGCAGAGAATTTTATATTTAAAAAATGGAGGTTGTTTGTCTTAAAGTAGCAGATATTGTAGTGCATAAACTCGCTAATGAAATTTTATAAATTAGTTAAAATAATTTAGAATGTACTCGGTCGAGACATTGAGTGAACTTCGATTTTACTAAGTGAAGAACAAAGTGAACTGGATTGTTAGAAAACTGTTAATATTATATGACGTATTCTATTCAATAAAAACAGCAAGAAAAATAATTTAGAATTTAATTCCAGAATTAATAAGTTCATTCAAATTAAATATTTTAAATATCAATAAACAAAAGTAATTTTGCGAAGAACATTGCAAAAATTAGGAATTCTAACATAAGCAAAATAACACAAATAATAACTATAAAAACTCGTATTTCCTCTTATAATTATTTCCACTGTAAACATACAGAAATGTCTCTATCTTTGACTTAACATTGAAGTGAGACCTCGATGAAGTGGATGAATGAGCTGTCTCAACATTATAATGTAAATCCGTATTTTTTGTTAAGCGAGAATACCTTTCTCTGACCTTTGACTGATGAGGGGGATGCTGATATTTCTCAACTGATTACTGTCGTTTCTTCATATCGTTACTCTCGAATTATCTTCGTGCTCAATTTAAAATTATTAAAAAGGGCACAGTGTTGTCTGCCATGGCGACAATGAGAACGAAATGGCATAAATGTGTGTAAATTAAATTCTTTCACATTGATTTAAAAAAATCTGAAACAAACTTGCATTATAAGTATTTTTAATTTCAATATAATATATAAATACATGTGCTTGTCTGTATTACGAGTTATGTTTAAGAACTTCTAATTTCCAATCCTGGGAACAAAGTTTTATTGTAGGTCGATATTTGTTTTCTGTTTCGCAGGCCGACATATTTCAGGGATGCCGTTGTATTTAATTTCTTCTTTTGTAATTCAATGAACTCCCATCATCGGGGACCTAGGACCTACATCTATTATCCAATATTGTTCCATCTTAGTCCAAAGTTGGCAGCGACCAAGATGACCCTTGGATCACGATTTGCGGCAGTGCTAGGTGTTTGGGAGATGGAAGATTCGATTCCAGCATGGAGTCTGTAATTTTAACAACAGGTTGCTTGTGGCGCCAGTTGAAATCGAATTCGTATAGAGGCTGCTGTGATATTTTCATGGCTTGCCTGAAACAATCAACCAAATTATCCATTTTCGATCCTATTCGGTCTATTTCTATCTTAGTGTGAAGTAAGGAATTGTATCATCTGTTCTCACATTTCCTACACATTGAAAATATAATAATCAGCACACCCACTTCATTTTTGTAAATTTTCATTTGCAGATACTTAATCCAAATCGGTGAACATCGCTTTGTAAGGTACTCGGTCAAAGATCCTCTGTATTAGCGCCGTGTGAACCTTCCTTGTAATCTCGTTCATAAATCCGTTCGATTGGTCGAGGAAGAAGCGGTCATTTTTGTTGATGACGTTGTTTGTTGCGTCAGCTGAAAAATGGAGAAACAATTGAAATTGTAGAAGTACCAACGAATCCTTTTTATGCTCTTCGAGGAAAATAAGTAAATCAGATTTTGTATTTCTTCTGAAAACAAAACAATTAGATTTATAAATTTGTTTGAAATACTTTATTAAAGAAGCCCAAATAGAAGCCTAAATATAAGACCAAATTAAATTAGTCAATTATATTATCAAGATATAATTTGTCAGAATTTACCACCTCCATTTTAATTAGTATATCCCGTACTAAATATAGATCTACAACGGGTCAATAGTTTTCGTATTTTATTATTGAATTGCAACACTAGATGAAAAGTGGACATCTGATTGCTATTTTTGTTCAACCTAAAGAATTAAGTGGGGAGAGTGACTATTGGGTTGGATTTGATTACAAATTAACTACACGTAATGCCCGGGCAGCATCCTTTCCAATAAAATAACGTTTTCGACCTTAAATTGAAAATACGAATTTCAGGAAAGCTATTAATTAATTCAACACACACGGTTTGCATTATTATATTTATATGATGATTATAGGATGTAATAAAATTTAAACCGTATATAAAACGTTCATAACGAAGAAAGTTTATAGGTATTTTTCATGGTTTTGTTCCTGTGTAGCGTTGTCAAAAGACAAATAGCATTCAGAGAAAGAGATATATGTGATATACATGATGATTAGATGAAGTTGCACCCTTCAATGAGTTGTGTAAGATAAAGCGGTAAATCTCATAAGTCGCGCTCTGGAAATGTAGTAGTAAATTATGATTCATACAAGTTAACTTTCATTGATTCTGTTATTTCAAATTTGATTTGATTTTGATATTGTTCATTTTAGGTTCTTCTATTTCTCAATGAAAGGAAGCTGACCTTCAAACTTACCTCATTTAGTAAAACTTCTTGACCGTCTTGCGTTCTAAATAGTAAATATTTTTGAAAATGTATTGAAATTGAAGTGTTTATTTTTTCAAATATTGAAAAAATCTGGTCTGTTATTCTAGTGGCAAACTATCTGATCAATATGGAGGGGTTCAAAAATGTGTTCTCGTCAAATTGTTGAAAAGCGTCTGGTCTGATGATTTCAATGCCTTTTATCATCCATGATTTGATTTTTATTTCGTGTGTGTGTTGCGTTTCATAATGATTCGAAACCACGAAATGAAATACTACGATTTCATCTCACAAAATGGGTCTTTGGTATTGTAATATACACTGACCAGAACTTTCTGACGTTTGGGGTCTCTTGACGATACTGCAATGCGCTTTTAAAGTCTATTGACCTAATTCAAGAAATGGAAGATTACAGATAAATTTAACTATGACGGTACGCAAGATTTTTTAATTTTCAAGAATTTGGGAAATACCTTTTACTGAATCAATCTTACAGCATCTGCTTCAGCTTCCCAAATTTACTTACATTGGGCTGGATCGTTGAAGAGATTAGAGAAATTCACTTTCATCTTCTCCACGTGCATTCTTTGGCGAAAATCGTCAATCACAAGGTACTCCAGTCCATGACGTTTTTTCCAAGAGTATCGCAGCAGCATGTCAAAACTGGTGTCAACTGTGAACATGGGATTTCGTTTTAAGTATTTAACACTCGATGATTTAGCAAGCTTGTTGGTGAGAACACCGCACTTCTCAGCAACTGGTTTCTGATACAATGTAGATATTTTCTTCAATATTTTTTTGTTTAGTTAATTAAATATGCTCATTAATTCTATGCAAAATCATTGATTATCTCTGTTAATAATACGCGTAAAATTAAAACTCTACCATGCAATTAAACCTCTACAACTGCCAATCAGAATTCACAAAAGAATCAAAATCGTGTAATAAACTCTAACACGGGATTTGGCCAAGATATTTCTAGTCAGCCATGAAATATAAACAAAAAATTACATCACAGCTTATGTACCGCCATAAACTCCATGCAAACAATGAATAAATAAAGCAAATTTTGTAACGTAAATATTGGTTTGACTAGGCGACTAATGAAGCAACATAAAATATTTAACATGAATAAATTAAAATCTTCATATATAAAACATGTACTCTTAATATATTATAAATAAAACAAATTCGTCTGTTGTGTTTACTGGTTATCAAACATATGCCAACTAAAATTAAGTCAAAAGTGACTCTTTTTTTTACTTTGTAATATTTAAATATTGTTGTATTCTCTCTCACACCTATGTTGACTTTTCGTGAGGAGTAATTATTTCATGGTTTTATCAGCTTCTAATATTTCGTCCAGAATATTTTCAATATCTTACATTTGGAAACATTTCTTGCAAAAAAACACAATACCCACTAAAATAGGTATTTTTCAAAACAATACGTCATCAGATGTATGCCTCAAATGGTAAAGGTTTGCATGAATTTCTCAGGTTTTAAATTATTCTTAAATGGAAACGAAAAACTATTGAACTTAAAACGCGGTTAAAGGGGTGTAATTACATTCGTGGTAAATAAGAAAACTCACTCTTAACGCCGGTCGTTTCCGTGAACATACCACTCATGCGTACCCCTCTTTATCCACTCGTTTCGTTAATTACTATATAAATGGCCTGATTTACACGCGTCTTTTGGTCCAACGACTCCGGCGTTTTATCAAACGCGCACATGCGCGGAATGGCGTTCCCACCCTAAAGTCATTCTGAAGATAAGCGTTCACGAATACTCCAAAATCGTTTGTCCAAACGAAACGTGTAAAGACGGAATGCGTGTGTCATGGAAGCGTATTATAGCAAACTGTTGTAAATAGTAAAATAGGTGACTGTAATTGTTCGTATGTCTATTTCAAAATTAAAATACAATGACTCAATGATAGATCATTATAAATTACTCTTATCCATCCTCTTAAACATTTATCGAGGTTGTTAATCCGTCGCGTCCGATGCCTCTATGTTCGATGTTTTACTAAAATAACAATGTAATCCATGAACTTACTGAATGTTGTATTGAAGTTTCCAGAACCTTGGATTGGGGTGTCAATAATACTACCCTCTATATCGTATTGGCCTCGGAGGTAGTAGTGTGGCAATCTGAAGACCAAGTTGAATTCTCGTTCTTCGAGATTTATGCTGCAAAAAAATATCCAACGTACATCTCTTCTAGCCCGAATTATTTTTCTTTTCCTGTGAGGGGATACTTGTAAATTTATAGGGTGGATTTCATCACATTACAGTAACCGCAAAGTTGAGCTTTGTAAAAAAAATTAAATACATAGCAAATAAATGGGTTTAATACTGACAACCCAGAGTGATAACCTATCTCATATCAAAATATTTCATATTCTTATAAAAATATGTATGACAACATAAAATAAGGTAGAAAAATAAAAAATTCTACTGCGCCAAACCCGTCTATGTTTTACTGATCTTCAATTTTTCAATGATATTAGTTTTGCAATACTCATTCTGCATGACATCGGTAAACCACGCGTTGAAGAAGAAAGTAATGTTTTCCTTACTCTGAACGTAACAAAACAGCATCCTTCCAGCCGTCATTACGCATATTAGAGATATTGAACGCCAGTGTCGGTAGAAGGTCGTTGTCCTTGCGAAGAGAAATGAATGGGATGTACAGAGGGTTCATTGGTATGGCATTCAACGTGCGTACACCTAGAATGTAAAAATAATAGTTTAAGAATTCTGAAAAATATTATCGTGACCATAACGTAATAACTGGATGAAGTTGGACATTTAGCTACAATAACGGGGGAAATAATAACGGCGGATGTAGGGAGTAAAGAGATGGCAGAAAGGGATAGGCAAGTGTCAGGCTGCTCAATGGCTTATTGTGACTATTCCACTCGGAAAAATCTTTAACACCAATAACGTTGAACTGTACATCTGTTGTGTACCAATTAAGATTGTATTCCCAAAATATCAATGCTTTTTCTTACTCTCCCTCCCTGGTCGCCAACCTCTATATGCAAAACATCAAACCTAGGAAGCACCAACATATACGTGCTTAGGAACAAAAATTTGGCGCATTTAGAAAATTTTTTCCGGAATTTATGGAAAATTTTCCTAGGAAAATTTCACGAGGATTGGAGCTTAAGTCATGGGAACTATTTTATTTTTTAAGAATATGATAATGGTGAAAATGTGAAGTATTAACGTAAAAGGTGAAGGTATTAACTCAATGCATGGACATTTAATGACACACCAAAATGGAGTGTCTCATATTTATTAAGGTATTTGAAATAGAGTACTGGTCTGATTTTGTGTTCACTATGTAGGAGGTCACAACATTCCAAACGCATCACACACCCGTTCTAAAGGCCCCATTATGCAGGTGCTCAATTAGCGCACGTTCCACAAAGGACCGCACACCCACAGGTCGTCACGTGCATTGCTGCTCACTGGTTGCTGCGCATCCTCGCAGAAAGTCTCCTGCCCATATCGCGATCCTCCGGTATGGAAGGTCCGATGTTATTTCCAAGAGCTTCCACACATTCCTTGGGACATTCTCAAGCAAATTTCTTATAATTTATAATTGCTTTTTGAGCTAATAGAGATACTCACAGACCCATCTGTTGATGTGAACACTCCCTACTGCAGCATTTCTTATACGCGACGAAAAAAAATTGTGTGATGCAATAATATTTCTTTTTGAAAAAAAGTAGTTTCCATGACTTCTGCCCCAACCGAACATTATGATAAAAAAGTACATGCGCAATAGCTGGTAATAAATTTGTTTATACTTCTTAATTCTTACCCTGAAATGTTTTTATTTTAAAAGCTATGCGACAACGTAAGTGGTTTTCCTTTCCATTTTTCAATAGAAAAAATTTCAAAAGATCTCCTTGTGTTAAGGAAATTAATATTCCCAAAAGATCGTTTTTACTGGAGATGATGTATTCGTATATAATGTTGTAAGCAGCTAAATTTAGGAGAAATCCTGCCCACAAACAGAATCTTGTAAGCGTTACAAAATTATGCTGAGCTACAATATGACGCGTCAAATAGCGATACCTTTCGAACTCTTTACAGAAGAGGGATTTGACAAACATTTTATTTCTATAAAAGGGCTAAAATATAAAAAAAATTAAAATATGAATTTTTAATTTGATTATCATTAAGATGTGTATGTTTATTTTCATTTCACTTACCTTTTGGCCAGCACCGTTCCCCATTAAAAGACTATGCAGTATGCAGGTTCGACAATACGTGGCATGTGGCCATATTACCCTTCTCATCTATTTCCTTCCGCGTTCTAAGAGCGGCAGAGAGCTTTATGAGCTAGCTTTTACATTTTTTTATTTCAGCTATACGAACGGAGAAGCTCCCTACCGCTAAGATACGAAAACGAACTGAAAACGAAATTCTGAAAACGTCCCTGCATGTTTTAAATTTAATTGTAAATATTTTTTTCTAAAAGCCAGACCTACCTGTGGCGAGATGTTCCAGCATTCTGTTAGCTGAGTCGGTGAAGCAAGTGTTGAGATTTGGGTCCTTCGCGCTACATATTTTCACATCAGATGCTGCAAAAGTTATTATTTTACTACTATAAGGTTTGATATTAAAAGGCTAGGAAAATTTTACAAGTAGTTCTGTAAAGAAATGTATATCACTAGTATTTCATTTCTTTGATGTTTCGAATATAGTTTTACGCTTTAATTCTCAATTTATTATGTTATTATTCAAAAGAAATGTAATATGATTTCTTTCAGATTCAATAAAATTTAATTAAATGGCTTTAAAAAACTCTCTTGCGCCTTCATTGCAACGACGACTCTTGGTCATCTATCGAGCGTATTTAAAGCAATGACACACAGTTTTTAACCGTTTTGATGAATAAATAAATAAATAAATAAATAAATAAATAAATAAATAAATAAATAAATAAATAAATAAATACGTTGTAGTGGAAACGTGCGATCCTCATAGACATCGTTGCGACTGTTAATAGGACAAATTAAGTTGTTTAGTAATAACGATATATTCTTTTCTGTGGCATAATTATTTAATTATAATAGTTGGTTGAGAGTTGTCACAATAATATTATGTCTGCACGAACAAATTTCATTGTTCAGTTCAAATTCCTTAACAATTTCGCATGTTTGACTCTTCAGAAAAAAAAATATATTCAGGCGAAACATCTGTGGATTTTTCCCACATCAGTAATTAATTGAAATTTTGAAGACCATTTGTGTCAGAACATTGCATTATCTGTATTGTATTACAACAACTGCTCAGATGGCCATAGAGAAAACACTTTTCCTAAAACATCTCCTTAGGGCAGCTAATGTTTTGGTTTTTTAATTTTATTTTTATTTCTGTTACACTCTCCTAAAACAAATATTGTATGTAATAAAAATGAGCGCATGCAGTCAGATTTGAAACCCAAATCATCCACTTACAATGGCGGCGCACTGCCCCTTCAATTTTTCTTGTGTTCCTGAAGCTGTCGCATGGAAGTTGAAGGGATTGCCACTTGGCCGGTTACTCCTTGACGGCTCCAGGTACAGGACTCGCCGCAGAAAAAACACCTCGGCGAAAAAATCACATAAGTATTAAATCGATTCCGTTTAAAGTATGTACATATCAACTTTCCCAATTTT